AGCCACGGTGGCTCTTTTTTAGTTCTTTTACTGTGTTTTTTAATTTGGGGTATACATTTAAGTTGGGCCTCTATTATGGTGTCTTTGAAAAGTGTCCATGCAGCTTGCAGGGATTTCACTCTAGTCACTTTACCTTTTAATTTCTGTTTAACTAACCTCCTCATTTTTGCATAGTTCCCCTTTCTGAAATTAAATGCCACAGTGTTGGGCTGTTGAGGTGTTCTTCCCACCACAGGAATGTTAAATGTTGTTATATTCTGGTCACTATTTCCAAGTGGTCCTGTTATAGTTACCTCTTGGACCAGATCCTGCGCTCCACTCAGGACTAAATCGAGAATTGCCTCTCCCCTTATGGGTTCCTGTTCCAGCTGCTCCAAAAAGCAGTCATTTAAAGTATTGAGAAATTTTGTCTCTGCATTTCGTCCTGAGGTGACATGTACCCAGTCAATATGGGGATAATTGAAATCCCCCACTATTACCGAGTTCTTTATTTTGATAGCCTGTCTAATCTCCCTTAGCATTTCATCGTCACTATCACTGTCCTGGTCGGGTGGTCGATAATAGATCCCTACTGTTCTATTCTTATTAGAGCATGGAATTACTATCCATAGAGATTCTATGGAACATGTGGATTCATTTAAGATTTTTACTTCATTTGATTCTACATTTTCTTTCACATATAGTGCCCCCTCCCCCCCCCCGCATGACCTGTTCTGTTCTTCCGATATATTTTGTACCCCGGAATGATTGTGTTCCATTGATTATCCCCACACTACCACTTCTGTAATGCTTATTATATCAATATCCTCCTTTAACATGAGGCTCTAGTTCACCCATCTTATTATTTAGACTTCTAGCATTTGTGTACAAGCACTTCAAAAACTTGTCACTGTTTATTTGTCTGTCCTTTTCTGATGTCAGATTCTTTTTTTATGTGAATGTTTCTCGTCTGATCTGGCCCATACTTTATCCTCTTCCATCCTCCCCTCCTGACTAGAACCTAGAGAATCTCTATCAATAGACTCTCCTCTAAGAGAAGTCTCTGTCCGATCCACGTGCTCCACTGCAGCAATCGGCTTTCCCCCATCTCTTAGTTTAAAAACTGCTCTGCAACCTTTTTAATGTTAAGTGCCAGCAATCTGGATCCAGTTTGGTTTAGGTGGAGCCCATCCTTCCTGTATAGGCTCCCCCCATCCCAAAAGTTTCCCCAGTTCCTAATAAATCTAAACTCCTCTCTACACCATTCTCATCCATGCATTGAGATGCTGAAGCTCTGCCTGCCTACCTGGCCCTGCGTGTGGAACTGGAAGCATTTCTGAGAATGCTACCATAGAGGTCCTGGATTTCAGTCTCTTTCCTAGCAGTCTAAATTTGGCCTCCAGGATATCTCTCCTACCCTTCCCTATGTCATTGGTACCTACATGTACCATGACCACCGGCTCCACCCTAGCACTACACATAATTCTATCTAGATGCCTCGAGAGATCCGCAACCTTTGCACCCGGTAGGCAAGTCACCATACCGTTCTCCCCGTCATCACAAACCCAGCTATTTATGTTTCTAATGATCGAATCTCCCATTACTAACACCTGCCTTTTCCTAATGACTGGAGTTCCCTCCCCCGGAGAGGTAACCTCAGTGCGAGAGGATATCCCAACATCATCTGGAAGGAGGATCCCAACTATGGGAAGGTTTCCCTCTGCTCCCATTGACTGCTCTCCTTCCCTGAGCCTTTCATCCTCCTTAACAGTGCAGGGGCTGTCTGACTGGAGGTGGGACAAATCTACAGTGTCCCGGAAAGCCTCATCAACATATCTCTCTGCCTCCCTTAGCTCCTCCAGTTCCACCACCCTGGCCTCCAAAGCCCACACCCGGTCTCTGAGGGCCAGGAGCTCCTTGCACCGAATGCACACATACGCCACCCGCCCACAGGGCAGGTAACCATACATTCTGCACTCAGCGCAATAAACTGGATAGCCTCCACTCTGCTGCTGGGCTTCTGCCTGCATTCTCTCCTATAGCTACCTAGGTTAATGATAGGGTTTTTGTTTAAATCAAGAAGATTTGATTATAGTTTAGGTTAAAGGTTTTAAAGAACGGCAAATGTACCTCGCCCCCTTCCAAACTCTCTCTCTAAACTCCCTGTTAGCGGCCCCTATTTGCAAAGCTTGAATTAAGTTTGAAGGTAAAGAAATATTACAAAAAGGGACTGTGTGTTACAAGCAATGAAAACATAATGGGGTGAAAGCTTTGTCTGAATTCCAAACTCTTTTGTGTACTTTGTTTTGACAGGAACCACACAACTCCACAGAGGATGATGCAGGTTCTGATAACTCTCAGTTCACCGGAAGCACAATAAACTTACAGGACCTGGAATGATTGTTAGGAATATTCATTTGAAAACAGAATGGTGCAGTCATATCTTGACAAAGCAAATATAGCTGTGTTCCAGTTTCTCAAGGAAAATATGAAAAGTAGGAGTACATGACTATGATCACACACTTAGTGTCAGTTACATGAAAAAAGAATAAAAAAAATATCAGCAAATCCTACTTAACATGTCTATGTAAGATATTCTTTCTGTCTTGTGGTCAAAGATGCTGGGGCCGGACTTGCTGAAATCCCATTGTAGAAAAGTGCCATAGCTATTAAACGTCTAACCAGGGTAATAATTTTCCTGTTTTCACAAGAAAGCAAATATTTCACAGCTAATGAACAAATACAAACTTAAATTTTTTTGTGTGACTTTTAAACTTTTCCTCCATTAGGAAAGGTCTCCTACTTGGCATGGATGATATGGAATCGGGGGGGGGGGAATCCTGAAATATTTTTTCCAAAACTTGTTTCAGCCATCTTATATATTGACAGCAAATTTCAATAAAATATTTTACAAGGCATGGTAGGAAAGTAGGATAGTGCCCAGAAAGCAGGGAGAAGAAATGAAGTAAAAGTCCCTGGGATACCAAAATATAGATTAAATATTAACTGTGAATGAGTTTTGGTGCCTATGTTGAGCCTTCCCCCTCTCATTCATCCTGAATAATATTTAGCTGAATTCTTCCAGCAAGACTTAAAAAAAGAAAGCTTCGTTAGAGAACTATATTCTCCATAAGCAATTAGCTAATGTTCCAACAGCATTTGACAAGTTAGGGCTGTCTTAACAGTCCCTATTTTGGTGAAATGTTTGACAGCCACCTAATTCAAAGCACCTTCATTATGTTTTTATACTACAAAAAGTGTTCCCAAGTTACTCATAACTAGCCACTATCTTTTAGAATTATATATTCTGTTACCACTTGAGCTTCATTAAAATCTAGAATATCTAGTGAGCATAGTGTCCAGCTGGCCGACTGATTATCCAGTTGTCAGAGTTTTTTAGAGGGAGAGGAAAAGTATTGTTAACTAGGAAGAATTGCCTCATTTGAAAAATTGCAGTTTCTAGAAGAACAGCTGCATGTACTGTACTTAACTGAATTGAATAAGCCTGAATAAGCATAGGGTTGTGTAAATTCTCAATGGAAAAAACAAAACACCTTTTGGTTATTAAATTTTAAGGTAGTAATTTAAATGTTTTATGGTGATGTCCTGAATGCCTATAAAATTATGTATAGGACTTTGATAAAGGGGTGTGTGTGTGGTTTTTTTCCCCCTCAATGAGTTGTGTGTATGCACGTATGTGTATATATTTTTTACAGAATAAGATGTCATGCAGAAGAACATTGCGATCTTCCTAATATTGCACATATTTATTTATTTAGTTATACTGTTGAATTCACCTGAGGTTGTTCAGAAATGCTTTTACTTCCTGTGCCTTTTGAACTATGTATATGTCCAGATAAATACTTTTTGGTTTCTGAGTCTTGAAAGCAGTATACAGGCTATTTTCACTTCAAACTGATTTGCAGGCAGTATTTTATCCTCTGAACTAACGTTGTTTTTCTGTCTGTGGTGGCTAAACAGTTTGAGCATTGGATATTCCTCTGCTCATGCCCAAGGGATCTCTAGCCTGCCTCAGATGAGGTCTCCAAGCCAGAGTGAGTCAGTGAGGAGATTTCACCCACTTGTTGCGGGGACTGCTGTTTTGTTTGATCATGGAGTCCAATGTGGAAAGGTTAAAGGGGCTTATGAGTCATCTGCAGGAGCACAGCACTGTTGAACAGACTACTGGGTCTTGCTTTAGAACAGTCGCTAATGCTGTCCCTGAAAGCTGTCACCCTGAATGCCAAACTCCTCATGGAACCATACCAGTTGTTCTTAAATTAAGAAAATGGTGAAGAAACCTAATTTCTTTTTATGGGACTTAAAACTGCATCTGTTTCTACTTCTGAAAATGTACCTCACTTGGCTTTGTATATGAATGTAAATTGCTAACTGCTTGGGGCCGAGACTCCGGTTAATCGGCTTGAAGTCCATTGCTGGCAATGGACATCTGAAGAACTGCTGGTGCAAAAGGATTAATAAAGCTTTTTTTATGGTCACTTTGGCATTGGGTTTGTTCTTGATATGAGTAATCTTTTGTTGATGCAAAGGTATATGCTATTGGCTTTAAAACTAATGCTGAACAGCTTTTCATCTGCAGTGCTTGTTCTTTCCTCTTGAATCTTGTATGTTCAGTAGGCAGGATGGAGCTTGTACTGAAACTCCAATTCCTGGAAGGGTGTTTCTTTTGGTGCATAGGCTTGGGGTTTGTGACAAACATCTGTCTAGAACCTAGCTTTGTCTTGCTGTAACTAAAGATGTCATCCACCTGTGTAATGAACGTGATATCCTAAGATTCCAGGGATCTTACAACTGACTTCAATTCTATGAAGAACCCTGTTGTTGACAACTGGCCTAGAGGCAAAATGGGGGAGAGAGTTCAGTTTATTTTTCTAGGTAAACAGTCATTTAAAGCAATGCCAAAATAGCTGTTGACTCACACCACAGGCTCCAGTGAAACGAACCACTCTCCTGGGGGGCAAGGGTTAGCAAGAGAAAATGGGAGATTTTTGTTTAATTCATTGCAAAAATTGTACATAATTCTAAGAACCCCAAACCAAAACATTCCCTGGTCAGGTTGGTACAATGTCTTTGCATCTCATTGGTGCTGTCCTTAATTTGCAGCCTTATTTGGGGTCTTAAGTAAAGTAATAGAGAGCTTCTTCCTTCTCTTGATCAATCAGTCCTTGATCCTCATCTTCTTTCTCTTTGATAGGCACGGGCTCAGAGCGGAACATCAGCTTTCTGCCAGTCTACAACGAAACAAAATGCAGGCACAGCAATGGTGGTGACAGAAGAATAGGTTGGGTGCAAATGCTGGTCACTAGCAATGTTTATAGTGCAAGCTTATGCTACTTTTTAGGAGATGTTACTGTCCCTCTAGTGGCACCTTTAAGACTAACAGAAGTATTGGAGCATAAGCTTTCATGGGTGAATGCCCACTTCATCTTGCATCTGATGAAGTGGGCATTCACCCACGAAAGCTTATGCTCCAATACTTCTGTTAGTCTTAAAGGTGCCACAGGACCCTCTATTGCTTTTTACAGATTCAGACTAACACGGCTTACCCCTCTGTTACTTGTCCCTCTAGTGTTAAGTTTGTAGATAGAAGCTCCCATAAACCCCTCTGGAAAAAGTAGAGTAGGTGTCCCGATTCTTTCAATAAGACAGCTCCTGGTGGCTCAGGGCTGTCTGTGTATATGCTATTGCTGATTATCTAGTGGCTAGGTTTGTACAAAGGCACTGCACTGCAGCCTCCATATTCAAAATATCTAGTCCAACTGAAATAGCTATCCCATCATGGTGATGCCATACTTCAAATGGAAATGGAAAAAGAAATAGGTAGTGAGACATCTCCTCTGGTTGGAGCAAGTGACTTGGACTCAGACTGCCTGTGTGTTATTCCCCACTCTGCCACTGATTTCCTGTTTGACCTTAGGCAAGTCACATTGGCACTCTAACGTTTTACTCATCTGTAACATGGATACAATCACTTGCTTGGTGTGCAGCTGCATTGAGAAGTTTATGGCTAGATTCTTCACCGGTAGCAAGCAGACGTAACTCAAACCGAGGCCAGTGGAAGCTGGCTGCTTATGATAGAGTGGGGGTAAGATTCTGTCCTATGCTTCTACAGTGCAGTACAGAACTCAGCCCAGGAGGATAAGTGGGGCTAAGGTGGCTTTAGGCCAAATTGGTGTCCCCCGATCCTGGGCTGCTCCAGTTGTAACTAAGTCCTGGGGGCCTACTTAAGATACGGCAGCCTCCCAGGGCTGCCCAGAATCCAGATTTGCATACAGCAGCAGTGCAACCACATCCCTTCCAGTGCTTCTGAGGGGTCCTCAGAAGGGAGCCTGTGGCTGTCTGTTGTAGTTCTTGTATTGGGGCTCCCAGATGGATACAGGGATACTAGGGTCCCTTTACACTACTCTGGCCCACTTATCCATTGTGAAGGGCTTCACCAGGGGGTGAGGATCTCACTCCAGATCCTTAATGTCTAAGTGCACTGAGATTTTCCATTAAACGGTGAAGCATAAGTGCCAAGTATTACCAGGAATTGCTCAGGTTACCTTTTTCTTTATATCCGCTTGTGCTCTTGCCAGTGCCCGTTGCACCCTCTCCTCCTGCAACTGCCTCTGTTGTCTTACTTTTTCGTCCCTCATCCTTTCAGAACAATTGAGCAAAATAGGAGTTAAAATGATGGACTCTGCCAAGCAGGATATATTTTTGACCCCGATTTTCAATAAGAAAAGATAAATCCACAAGAGGTGAATGTTCTGTGATACAGCGCCCGATCCATTTAGTTCTCTAAAGTGCAATTGATTTCTCCCCCAACACCCTCCCCCTCCCTTACTCCAAAAAAACCTATTTCACTTCTCAGTGGAGACATAGCAGCAGTGAACTGAACAGAGGAGATTGTATTTCTATTTCTGGATCTGTCACTGACTTTCTGTGTGCGTCACCTTCAGCAAGTTACTTACGCTCTGTAAAATGGGGCTAGTGGCATTTGTGGGGTAACGATACTTACCTGGCACCTTGTGTCCTCGCACCAGTGCAAAGTGAGTATAAAATGCTATCTGATCAGGGGTTTATGCCCGTTTTGCCCTGGTGTAAATGACTACACAAAGTTCCAGGGCAATGGCGAATCTGATCCACTGTGCTTTATGCATGAAAAGCACGGAGGGTAAGTGGTAATACAAAAATAATCTGCAATGACAAACTGTCCTGGCTGATTAAGTGCAGAGGGCTTCCTCTCTTGTATAGCCACTACAACTGAGAAGCCAGTGTGTTCTCAAAATACTGCTCTAATTTTAAACCCTTTCATTTAGGGTAACTTCATTTCCTGGCATTTTCCTTTTCTGCAGTGGTGTGTAGTTTTTTGTGGGGCTTTTTTGTGTGTGCTTTGATTCTAAATAGCACTCACGAAGTGGCATAATGACCTTTTTTGAATTCTGAGGAAGGAGATAAAAAAAAAAAAAGTTCATATGTGTTTGTTACTGAACTCTTTCTGCCACTTCAAGTTTCTTCCTGCAGATCTGACCCAGACAGTGATCGCACAGTCTGATCACTGGCTTACTTCTTGGGATCATTTGTATTCAGCTTCTCAAGTCCTCAATGAAAGTACATCTAATCTTAGAGCACAGATGCAGTGGGATGAGTATGGTATTTTCTACTAATGTGGGTTAGCATTTTGGGGCTTTGCAGAGGCAAAAATTTTAATTTAAAACATGCCCGTGTGGTCAAATTTTCCAAATACTGTACTGGAGAACAAGCTAGGGTTTCCACACATGCCCTGCTGTCTTTTAGCATACTATCTTAGCAGGAATGATCAATATGAAAACATAGATTTAACTACAGCAAGGAGTTTTTTCTGCCTGATCAGTTTCTTATTCGAATTATGGGTACTAATTAGGTATTGATAATGTGGGCTTTTTAATATACCTGCCATTTCTTCCTGATTCACTGACATATGTAAGCAGTTCCATTGGCTTCTCTTTTTATCTTTTGGAGTTTGAGAAACGTTAAAAATTGAAATGCTGGCGTGATCTCCCCGAAACGGGTCGCACCACAGCCGAACTTCCTCTTACCTCATCCTCCGTTCTTTTTCTTTGGCTTTCTCTGCCTGTTCTATCTTTGTTTGAGGGACTCTCTCCAGACACTCCAATAAGTCGTCGAGTTGGTGTTCTATGACTGTTAGCAGCTGCAGGGTTCCCAAGTTGGCCTCATTTTCTCCAATGCAACGTCGATAGACCTCCGTCACCTTTTTGTTCAGGCTCACCAACATTTTGTCCTGGAGACAAGGCAAGGGGGCAGTCCTCAACTGCGGTAAACTGTCACAGCTCCTGAGGACCTGCCCAGCGTAATCTGCTTAAACCCAGTCAAAAAGTTGAAATTAACATTTCAATTCCCTCCACAGAACTGTGTCTCATCTCACGTTTTGATACTTTCAGCATCTAGCTCCATTACATGTAGGGTTTTGTATAGGGAAAGGAAGGGTGCTAAAACTTCACTGTGACATTCTATACCTTGGGGGAGCACCCTGTAACCTCCATATTCCTCATTTATATATAATTGTGATCTTGCACATAAAGCATGCCATGTGAGATATTGGGGGAAAGGTTATGATCTGCTGAAAGCCTCTGTTCTATCTAAATATATATAATTAAGGCATATGAAGTTAGGAGATTGTGTTGTATGGTTGTCACTAAAATATGCTGTGGGTTTGGGAATCGCCCGGATACTATCTCTCCAGAGGCAATGACAAGGGTGGTAACCAATGCCCGGGTGGGTGTCAAAAAACCCCTCAACAGCCATTGTCCAGCAAGGGAGCTACAATTCAATGACTCACCTGCATGAGGCCACACCAGGGTAACTGTTCAACCTTGCCTGGGGCCTCAGCAATGACCCACAGCCATGCCTGGACTTGTATCCTCCAAGCACATGGGACTGAGGGTATAAAAAAAGAACGCAGTGGCCACATGCTGGGCCTTTCTCCTGTCCCCATCTATGCTGCAACCAACAAGGGCACACTGAAGACTTCAACAGAGGAGACTGGCCCAGGTTTAAGGGACAAACCTGTATATTAAGGACTGCAGTAACCAGTGGGGTGAGAAAAACTGCTTAATCTAGATGTTGCCCAGTCTAATAGCATTGAGAGTTTAGACTGCATGCTTATATTTTTTATTTTGTAACTGACTTTTTGCCTATCACTTAAAATCTATCTTTTGTAGTCAATACATTTGTTTTACTGTTTATCTTTTTCAGCGAGTTTGCCTGAAGTGTTCGATAAGTGGGCTTGCTCAGGTGTACAAAGGCTGGTGTATATCCCCTTTCCATTGATAAAATGGTGAACCAGTTAATAAACTTGCAGTGCTTGTCTTGAGAAGTGCAAGATGGTGTATTCCTGAGGTGCAAGGCTGGGAACTGGGGGGATTTGGCTGGTGCCTTTCTCTGTGTGATTCATGAGTGGCTCTGGGAGCATTCATGCCATCTAGCTGGGTGTAGGGCTCCACATGCGGTTGTGCTGAGTGATAACAGCGCTTGGAGGGGTTTGCTGCTGGTCACTAGCAAGGCATTGTGAGAGACAGCCCAGGCTGGAGAGTTAAGAGGACACAGCAGTCCCACAGTCCCAGGCTGCACCCCAGGGATCCCGTCATATTCACCTCTGAAGTCTGAAGTCCTCTGGTCACAGGCTAGAGTTGTCATGAGAAGAAGCAGGACAGGCTACTCCTAGACATCTCCCTGCCAGTCTCTTACTTGCTTAGGGTCTTGCTCTATGCACATACCTGCACATCTGCTTTATACTCTCCGAAGGAAAAGACTCGTGCCTTCAATTCCAGGTCTGCGGCTGTCTCCTCTTCTTTGATTATGGAGGCTTTGAGTGTGGCTGCAAGCTGCTTCAGCTGCTTTATCTCACGGTCCCTAATCCAGGAGAAGAGGGAGGCATTTCTGAAAAGGATCTTTCTTAGACACAGCTTTCTTCCAGCATTTTTGCAAACTGTGGCTATAACTCCTCCAACGATCAGGTGGAGCCTGAACTTTGTGACATCACTTTCCTCTGTAAGGAGACTGGCTAGTAAATGTATTCAGCTGAAATTCTCTTTCCAAGAGCTAGAGCGGACTCCAGGTCTCTGGAATAGTATTTTCTGTGCATTGGGGGTGGGAGTTAATTAAATGGTGAAAAGTTTCAATGTCAAAATAGAAAGATTCCTACTTAAAAAACAAGAGGCTAATATATATCTAAAACATCAGATTATAATTAGTCATGTTTATTGCAGTAGTGTCTAAGGACCAGCTGAGAGGGGCGCCCTATTGCACTTGGCACTGAATAAAAACATAGTAGAGAGGCCCTGCCCTGAAAAGCTTACAATCTAAATATACAAGACAGACACGTGTGGAGGAATAAAATGCCTGTGTGGCTTCCTGCAATTTAAAGACTTTACACTTTGATTGCCTGTTGACTTCCACTAGAGAGGATTCTCGTTGGAATTATCACAGATGCTGTAGTTTATTCCTGGGTGGAAGTCCTCTATGCAATGCTGTACAGAACCTTTTGTGCTTTAAATAGTAGCAACACATGGCGAATGATCAGGAGTGAAACAAGGCTCACTTCCTCACCTTTCCTTTCAGGAGCCTATTCCCTAGCCCCCTCTGAATTGGGGACCAAACAACCAACTCAGACCTCCGCTATGGCAGCACACAGACCAATGCCCCAGTAACACCCTCCTCCAATCCTGGGGTTAGAAGGCAATTAAACTGTAGGAGAGACTCCTCTTCCATCGTGTACTGCATGGCTGATATATCACTTTACTATGGTCCTTAATGCTATGATCTGTGGCAGGGGAGACCCCAGGCATTCTAATGCTAGAATGTATGCAGCCTCTTTCAGCCACTTACATTTTACTTCGCGTAGTGGTGAGAGCATGCTGGAGCTCATCCAAGGTTTCCTCGGTCTCCTGGGAATTCTGGATTAGGGACAGGTTCTGTTCTTCCAGCTCAGTAAAAATTTGCAGCAGTTGCTGGGGATCAGTAAAATATAACTCTGGGTCCTGGGATGGGAAATACAGAATATGGGTGTGTATCCATCTCGCTTGGTGACTCTAATTTACCAGTTTATTATTATATGAGTGCTGAAGTTTGGTCTACACTTCATAATGTTAATATATAGTTATTACATAGCTTGTTACACACAGAGATCAAGATGTGTCGTCTGTCCTAAAGAACTTGCATTCTAAATGAACAAAAGCAAGACGTGGGTCCGTTGCTCAGGAGAGAGAGAGTGTGTGCAGATTATTCATGGTGGGAAGACGGGAGAAGGAGTCCCTCGCTGTGTTGGATTTTTACAGAGGGCCTTGAAGGAGAACGGTTTGGTTGGATTTGCATAAGGGAAGTGTTCCAGCAATAAGGTTCAGCATAATAGAAGGAAGGCACAAAGCTGGGAATGAGACCAGATGATGGAAGGAGGAATTAAGGATTGGGAAGAGCACGGGTGGAGATATATCAGCAGGAGCAGGGTTAATCCGAGGAGGGGGTTGAATTTGAAGCTATAAGGGACACAGTGCCAAAGATGGGATTTGAGGAATGGGGGAGTGCGAAGTTGTCTCTGCATAGGAGGATTGCTTTAGCAGCAGTGTTGGGCTGATAAAGGCATGCATTTGTGGACCTGGCTCCTTGCTGTTTTGTTCGTATTGCGTGGGTTGGGTTGTACTTCCTAATGCCTCTGAGCAGCATTGCTCTAGAATTGTGTGAACAGCCAGGCAGCTTACAGATACCCCCCTTCCCAAGCCATCAATGCCATGGGTCAGCCAGCAAGATTTCTTACTGCCTTTCTACATGGCTCACTCTCTATTCACCCCTCGCCCTAGGAGTTTACACGTCTCCTTCATAGCCCCAAACAGGCCCTGGTTCATCAGGCTGATGGGGAATTAAGGGGGGTGTGGGCACCACAGAGCTGGTGTTACAAGGAGGGAGTGCCCGTGACAAGACTGGGTCTCCTAGCATCTTATATGCAGTTTGATTCTGATATCTGAAATCCCCTCATGGCTCTTCTCTATGTAACAGAGCAGCCTGTTCATTTAAGGGCAGGATCTGGTTCAGCCTGCCCATTCCAGGGCTCATCCCCTTTAAAGGTCCAGGAGTTGTAGTTCCCCAGCTGGATCACGTGACTGGGAGGGGTTGTGTGAGTGCAGGCTGAAAGTAGGACCTGCTATAAATGAAGCAGCCTTCAGCCTGGGCTTGTCTCCATCCATTGTTGCACTGGTTTAACTAGGGTTACCATATTTTAAAAAAACAAAGAGGGGACACTCCACGGGGCCCCAGCCCCGCCCCAACTCCGCCCCTTCCCAGCCCCGGCCCCACCCAATTCCGCCCCTTCCCTAAAGTTGCCGCCCCGACTCCGTCCCCTCCCCTGAACGCTCCGCCCCCTGCTCCTCCCCCTCCCCTGCTTCCCAAGAATCAAATGTTCGCGGGAAGCCTGAAACAGGCAGGCAGCAGATAAGCTGGGGTGCGCGAGGAGGCGCGGCCCTGGCCCTGGCCCTGGCCCTGGCCCTGGCATCTCCGGCCTGGCTTGGCTCGGGCCCTAGGGTGCCGGCCCCAGTTCCGGCCGAGCGGCTCCGGCCGGCTCCGGCTGGCCCCGGCGACTCCAGCTCGGCTCGGGCCCCGGGGCACTGGCCCCGGCAGAGCGGCGCCGGCCGGCGGCTGAGCACCCCCAACCCCGGTCCCAGTGGCTCCGGCCCGGCTCGGCTCGGGCCCCGGTTCCGGCCAAGTGGCTCCGGCCCCGGTGACTCCAGCTCAGCTTGGGCCCCGGCCGGCGGCCGAGCACCCCTAGCCCCGGTCCCAGCGGCTCCGGCCCGGCTCGGCTCGGGCCCTGGTTCCAACCGAGCGGCTCCGGCCCGGCCCTGGGCGAGCAGCACCAGCCAAGCACCCCAAGCCCCAGTCCTCGTGGCTCCGGCTCGGCTCGGGCCCCGGTTCTGGTCGAGCGGCTCTGGCCTGGCCCTGGCAGAGTGGCGCCGGCCAGTGGCCGAGCACCCCCAGCCCCATCGGCTCCGGCCCCAGCGACTCCAGCCCGGATCCAAGCCCCACGACCCCTCTCTATTTTCCCGGACATGCCTGGCTTTTTGGAATTTCCTCCCGGACGGGGATTTGAGGACCAAAAAGCTGGACATGTCCAGGAAAATCCGGACGTATGGTAACCCTAGTTTAACAGGAGGTGTGATTTTTTTTTTTTTAAACAAGTTTTATTAAACCAGTGCCACAGGTTCTGTGGACACTCCTACTGTGATTTAGTGTAGTCGATTGGGAACAGGTTTATGTTGAAATAAGCCACTCTGAAACCAGCGTAAGTGTCCATGCAAGGAGTAACTAAACCGATACAAATGTGTGTATACAACCTCTCAGTAGGAGAGTGACCAAGCTGAGGCAAGACCTGAGCTGGGGTCCTCCACAGAGGACCAAGGCAGTGGGTTGGAGAGGCCTGGGAAGAGCAGCAGTTTGGCAGAGGAAGGAGAGGGCCTAGGAAGAGCGAAGCAGGGTTGAGGGCAGATGCTGGTATAAAGTCCCAGGGATGGAACCCAGACTAGTGGAAGGGTCTGGGCTCCCCCATTGTGCCAGCTGGAGGTGATGTGGAAACTGCTGCAAACAGAGGAAGGAAGCTGTGGCCCAGAGGAGGACCGCAAATAAGGTAAAATGTGTGCAGAGCACTAGGGAAGGCTGTGACCCAGTATGGAGACTGGGTGAAAGATTCTGGGTCTCTTCATTTTGTCTGGTCTTTGTTTACCCCAGAAAGGAAGGACTTTTTGCTTTGGCTGGAAGATCCACCTACTTAAATCACCAAAATGTCAAAGCACCCAAGTGCCTGAAGAGATGGGGAAATGAGGTACCAAGCTGAGGTGAATCTGAGGCACGCACAGTTTGACATTGGACCAGGTAAGAAGCCACTATGTCCCAGTAAGAACCCATTATATTCCTCTCTCAACATTCCCTGTCTTCATCTCCCTGCAGTGAGGGATTGGAAGGTCCTTTACAGCCCTTCACCCTCTAATTATTGCTCCTAACGTCCGCATGGATGAAGGTTAAGAAAGTAAAAGATTAAAGACAGCCGCTACCAATAAGCTGCTTGAAACCAGCCATAATTGGTCCTAGACCAGTGTTTCCCCAACTTGGGACGCCGCTTGTTTAGGGAAAGCCCCTGGCGGGCCGGGCCGGTTTGTTTACCTGCCGCGTCTGCAGGTTCGGCCGATCGCGGCTCCCAGTGGCCACGGTTCGCTGCTCCAGGCCAATGGGAGCTGCTGGAAGCAGTGGCCAGCAAGTCCCTCGGCCTGCGCCACTTCCAGCAGCTCCCATTGGCCTGGAGCGGCGAACCGTGGCCAGTGGGAGCCGCGATCGGCCGAACCTGCGGACGCGGCAGGTAAACAAACCGGCCCGGCCCGCCAGGGGCTTTCCCGAAACAAGCGGCGACCCCAGTTTGGGAAACCCTGACCTAGACGATGAGAGGTCATGACTGAAGCTGAGCAACAGTGAGCATATCAACAAAGCAGGGTTCCAGCGATAGCTGAAGTTGGAACAGACGGCTGAGAGAGCCCAGGCCCTCCCTCTGCTCTTGGCTCCTAACACCTCCCGGGACCAAATACCCTGGGCAGCTTGCCACCCTCAAATGAAAAGAAAACCTCACATGATTTTCTCCTTGGAGAGAGGTGTGTGTGTGTGGGGTGGGGGGAGAGTGAGAATCGCACATGACAAATGCCAGTCACATCAGTGCGGTGAGGAGGGCAGTGTGAGAACCTGAACAGAAGTAGTTGAATTTTAGATCCATTTTAGGATGAAGCCGGGCACGCTGTCAGCAAAAAGGTAAGTAAAGGGTAGCTGCAGCCACTAACAAACCTGCTGGGGCAAAATACTAAGGGGTTGATGGGATTTGGTATCCTAAGTCTAAAAGGACAGCTGTTAATGGTGCACATTTGGTCTGCTGCCGACGCCCCAGGCACTTTCCACACAGCATTTCATTTTATTTTTAAAGAGGGCGGGAAACATCACACACATCTCATTTAATCAGCTGAGGTTCGTCTGGGCTCTGTGCAACCCTACTGCGGTGTAACATCCTTTAAGCAAATGTAGCGATGTGCTTCTCTGTACAGACGTACCGCTTGCAACAAGTCTGGGCAGTATCATATTTGGCATCAAAACAGAAGTTTGAAAGTACCTCTTCGTTCAGCAACCGTCAACATTTTTAGTACTTAAATTGCACGCAGACGCTGTGTTCTAAGTTAGAATGAATGGGTGATGGGACAGATTTTTTTAAAAGGTGGAGGCTTACATACACAGATACAAGCGTGCAATTGCACACCTGCTGTGGTGGGGCAGTTACTACAGCTGCAGGCACAAATGGCTATTTTAGATGGCTGAACAGTCATTTGTGCAATACTCAAGTCCCACATGTAACTGCAGCTATTGCAACTTTGAAAATGTTGGCTTTAAATGGACATCTGTCAAGAGCAGGCTTCTGTTTTTTAATCCTTGCCTGTTTTAATGAAGGGGTTTATGAAAAGATGAGATTTTAAAAAATCTAATATTCACCATTTATGCTGCGAATTTACTTTTCTGCATTTTACTCTGGTCTGTCATTGGTCAGTTTCATTTTTGTCTCCCATGAGCTAGCCTCCATGCTGTTTTTCTTTGGGTTTGCTGCATTGTAAGTGGCATGGGGAGCAGATGTTGAAATTTGAGAACAACCACCACCTCTATTTACAGTTGTTAAAAATGTCTCTTTACAAAACTTCAGTTTTGGACTAAAAAAATCACTTTATAATAACAAAAACACAGTCTGACTGGTGGCAAACTGAGTTGATCCTGGGTCTGCTAAAGGCAAAGGAAATAAATTATTCCCTTGGTTCAGATATTTCTATTACACTCACCACTAAGATATCCTAAAAGAAAATAAGCATGCAGTGTTGTAATAATTAGATACAGGAACTCCACAATTCATCAACTAATGTTTGGAAGGTATGGGAAATCAGCAAAACAAGCCACAGATGGAATGAGAAGACAGGTATAATAGCTGAGTAGTTCAACGCAAGGCTACTGACCTCATCCTCGTCCTCATTGTCAGAGAAGGTTGTACTCGCCTTCTCCTCCATTGCTAGGGCGGCAATGCTCCTGAAAAGGTATTTCCAGTGACAGGCACTTACAGAAATGATTGCTTAAGCCATGTTAAAGGAGATCTTGTTAGCTAGTAGCCAGAGTCCTAGTGCACTTGCTAAGTTAATAACTGCAAACCACCTCTGGTTGTAGCAGTAAATAGCTGGCAAATTACATTTCTTTTGCATGTTACCTATCTGATTTTAAATATTAACATTTGCAGGCCTGGGTTCTTTCTAGGCTGTTATTTGTTTTATGGTATCGCTAGGAACCCAAGATATGGACCAGGCCCCATTACGCTAACTACTGTACAAACAGAACAAAAAGATGGTCCCTGACGCAAAGGACTGCCTCTCAGCCTTTCTGGGTTCCGTTCAGCGGTTGCAGAGCCATTCCCACTGGTATTGCAATGACAGTCCTGAACCAAAACCACTGATTCTGAACACCCCCAACCTTTAGGGGAGTCTGGGACCCAGCTGTGGATGCGAATTTGGCAGCTGAGCCCTGCTGTCTATAATGGGTTGAATCAAGGGCTTGATCCAGTGGCCTGTGGAGCAGCAGAATGCATGGTATGGAGTGGTTCTGCATGTGTGCTCCATACAGGCTGGTTGCAGCAGTGCTCCTAGGCAGAGCGGTTTCCACACAGCTGGAGCCATCTGCAGAGTGTACATCCCTGTCCCCTATACCCTGCGCACAGGAGAGAAAGTGGGCAAGTTGAAGGCATGGCAGAGTAACATATTCCTAAGTAGGACCCCCGGGCCATTAATGAACAGTGCAGCAGTTTATTTCACTGCTCCAGCGAGGAATCAGCCCCAAGTGCATGATGAAGAGCAACAGGGTGAGAGACATTGGACTGATGCCAGCAGCAGATTCTGCTCATCAGCCTGTGCTGCTGCTGCTCCATGCACTCTCTTCCATGTCCTCTTCATGCCACGACGGGGCAGCTCCAAAACTCCCCATCGGATCACTCCCTTTGGGGAATTTTACAAATGGATCCAGATCCCAACTCTGGGGATCGGGTCTGTCGCTAAAGGTAATATTCTAAAGTCCCACGTCTGCAGCCACTATGTGCTGACTAGCACTGAGTCAGGCAAGTCGTCCCATTTGATTTGGGGGGGGGGGCACTCATGTAAGTGCTGCTCATTGTAGGGGTACCAAAATTGGGTGACCAGAATACACTTGCACTGGAGGAAAAGGGAGCTGCCCTCAAAACAACAATTTCACCAGAAAACTACTATTAGTGAGGTTCTCTTCCCTTCGGCAGACTGGCAAATAATACCCAGTGACCCGTGCAAACAGGTAGCAAACACTTTGCTGCCCCAGGCAACTGCCTCCTTTGCCGGCATGGTGAAGCTGGCCTTGTCTATACTCCCCTCTCCCCTTCCCTGCCTCTCTGCTTCTAGGTCGCTGTGGTTATGGGGAACCCACACCTGGTACAGGGAGCATTATTCTCTCTGCCTCCCAGCATACATTTTTAATTAGTCATGATTATAATGCACGTGACAAGTAGATACAGTGGAGCCCTCTTTTGTTGTGGGACAAATGCCTTTTGCCCTAGAATACCACTGGGTGGCGGCCTGAGGAAACAAACACTTTAGCCAAGTGCTCAGCTGGTGTACATTGGTGTACATCTATTGAGATCAACGGGGCTATGCCAGTTTACAGCAACTGAGAATCTGGCCCTCTGAACATTTTGACTTGCTCTAATAAGAGAGCCAAACGCATTAACTGGATGCTTTTCCTAAAAACACAGAAGGTAAATAATACTCACGCATACCTGTAGCTACTGTCATCTGATCGACAGCTCCCCTATATTTACATCCATCGCCTTCACCAGGTGTCTCATACTTACTGTCGTCTTGTCTGCTGGGATTTCAAGTTTTGCTTTGAGGGGCTTTTGCTTGTCCTGAGGGATTCCCTTCTCTGCATGATTTGGCTTGGGGACCTCTGATCAGGTCCTCCTGAAGAGAAATCAACACTCTGACGTCCCGTATAGCCAAGATAAGGCAACTTGCCACGTCTGGTTCGGGGTGTTGGATCCTGGCCTGGACACAAGAGGAACATATCCTAAGAAGGGGAGGCTGCACACAGCGAGGAATGGCCAGAAACACTTCTTGGGAGAACTTACCCTTGGGCGTGATGGGAGAAATGGAGATTTTTTCTTCTTTCACTTCAGAGGACATTTTCATCGCCTTGGTCTTCATCTGCTTTTTTTCATACTCTTCCCGCCACTCTTTTGGAGAAAGCTGGTAGAGGAAGTTCTTGTACTTCTTGTACTCCTTCAAAGTGTCTTCAAACTTGGATATCTCACTAGGACGGAGGAGCAAACAGGTTGCACTAGGTTTAATAGCACAGTTAAAAGCACCATTCTGAAAAACTTCTATCCTGAAATGCAGCTCTATTCTGACAGCAACTATGTCAATATGGCACTGTCTCGCTCCACAGACCTGCTCCCTGTGTGCATTCAAAGTCTGAGCCGCAGACTCAAGGTCAACAAGTTTTTAACTGCTGTTAGACCTGCACAGCTAAGAGGGAGTGAGCTAGCATCCACATATTTCTTCTTGTGCATCCTCAACAGAATGGGTCACTCTGTTCTGACCCTTTACCCCTGCACAGGGGTCAGAGTACATTGATACAGGAGGGGGAACTCTCAACACACCAGCCAAGGAGAAGGGGGAGCTATGGAGAAGCCCTGCCTCTTGAAGCTAATGAGAAGAGGGGAGCTCTCCTCGCTTTTAGTAGAAGAGAGGGTCTTCACTCCCCCAGTCCCATCTAATGCCTACTTTAACCCCTGCTCCTGAGAGAGTCCAGTGAAGGCACCTGTAATAAACAGGTGTCCTCAAGGGCCTAATTTGGCCTGTAGCATCTTTAGTTGTAGTGGAGATGATGGATGAGATCGAAAGAACCCAGCTTGACTCTGAGAACCCAGCCTGGTTTGCAGGGCTGGCTGTTGGCAAGTTGAGCAGATGTCATTCAAAAACCAGAGACAAGGCATGGAACCCCGCAATGCCTTTTTTACAGAGCAGAAGCACACTTTAATGGCTTGCAGGAATCACGAGTAGACTATTTGAAATCCTATAGCCAAAAAAAAAAAAAGTTAGGCTGGCACAGCACATGGTTAGGGAGACAGCCTGTGTCACATCTTCCACTGAATCAGTTCTGAAGCCACTCAAATTAGGCACCTGTAAAGGCTCCCTGAGGAAATTCTGGGACACAATATAGAGCTGTCAGCTGAGAATCAATGCCAACCCCTACAATACAGGTCTCATAGGAGGAGAACATCTTTCAGTTAGGAAAGATTTCCTGTTACAGGCTCCCCGGAGGGGGGTTATAAACAAGATCAGGACTGGCTCAGTGGCCCAGTAAGAGTGCTGCCACATGAGAGATCAGAAGATCCAATTCACATTCTGCGTTGCCAGGGTGGCTGGGCTGGGAGTGCCAAGGTAGCAAGCTTAGTCTTGCAGGTTTGGGGGAAGGGAACCTTTATGGCTGAAAGATGGAGCAGTGTATTAATGAGCTGCATCCAGTCATCCTTTGCTGGGCGTAAGATCTCTGAGGATGGAAAGAGTAAGGAGTGGAGTGAGAAATTAGGTGTTTGGAGGACTCCCTAATCTCTCCTTCAATGAGGAAAACCATAGCTTCATCCAAGTTAGAGATAGAGAAGACTTACTGGATCATCTTCCTTGTGCCAAGGTCAAGCTTGTTCCCTGAAGTGTATCTTCCATGAAAAATACCATAATAATATCTTTGAAACCTCAGATCTAAGTCAATACTAGAGATGGGGACAGACCAAAACCTAGATATGGTCACACTCAATCTTTTGGAAGTTTTAGATCCATTTCAAATGCCATTGCTCATACTCTGTCTATACCCTCCTCTAGCTATTATACCAAAGCTATCTAGTTTCACAGACAGTGCAAGGCGTTCATCTACTATCCATAAGAACATAAGATCCATCGACTCCAAGATGCAACAAGTAAGGTAAGTGGGAGAGCAGATTTTCCTTCTGTCTTTGGAGGTGAAGGCTAAGTTTTCTGAATATGAATGTACACAAAATTTGTACTGTATATACAATTACATGTATGTTGTGTAATGGCATGTCAATGGCCAGTTCCGCAAATGCCTGATCGTTTGTTTAACAATACCCAATTTGCATACATAATTGAAGTAATTGGGCATGCACATTAGCCATGATATTGTGCACATTTTGGGGTGTGCATTCACACTTGGCCTGTTTTTAAAAACAAACAAACAAACTCCAAGAGTCTCCTGGGAGTTCCAATCAACTATGTAGGGCTTTGTGCAACATTCTAACTTGGGGAATGGTCAAACAACGCCCTCCATAGAAGAACCTGCAAAAAACAAAATATCAGGTTGTGGTAGATATAATATGGGGAAATCCCTTTTATATTCCTGACTTGGCCAGGTTCTGCTCTTAGCGATGCTGGGGTAAACCTGAAGTAGTGCTATTGAAATAGCATCATGATAATTGAGCAACTGCCATGCAAACATCTTGACACTCCAGTGAAGTCAAAAGAGTTACTCCAGATTTAAACCAGCATCAGTGAGCACAGTCTCAGCATTTTAAGGTAAAGCCAATGCACACACAGACAATCCCAAGTCTTCTCTAAAACTCTGTCCATGTTATGAGAGGACACTATCGAAGTTTAATAAAAAAGCTAGTTACTTGATCACCAAGCTTTAGTGCTGTAATTGGAGAAGCTCAACCTTTCCTGTCTGTGTGTCACACTCCAAGGCTAGAGGGTGAAATTCAACAGTGCCATAAACTGGTACAACAGTACGGATTGCACCCACTTACACCAGGACTGAATTTGGCCCAGTTTTGATAATTCTCCCTGAGATTATCAGAAGAACCTGACTGAGCACATGGATGGGGTAACCTGCCACTCACACAAGAACATTTAAGGCCCCTAAAGTTTTTTTTATTTTTAACACGAGGAGGGTGGCGCAATCGGCTCAATGTTATGGGATTGCATTACAGTGTGACGACATTGCAACATGAAGTCGAATTGTTCCATTACACAGCTACTGTCTCATGACAGTTTGGCTTCAGATGACACTGACAGCACAAACTTTTAAAGGCGGCAGCCCTGAGGATGCAGCTCCATAAGGTCTGTTAAAGGTTCAAGCTATTCAGTGACACTGTTCGCTGGGTGATCGTTACCTTTGAATGCTCATCATTTGTCCAGTAAGCTCCCGGATCTCGATTATTTTCTCTATCTTTGCTTTGGTTTCTTTTTCAGCACTAGGGAAGAATGCATAAAAATAAGATTGCAAATGTGCATAGAACTGCAGTTGTAGTGGGGTGGGGGAGAAGTGTATAGAACAGAGGAAAGAAATGGAGCGGATGGAAATCTTTATTATATCTGAAAATGTACTCTGCTGACTCTCTGTTGTGACATGGGGACTTTTGTGATACTCTACTGGACTGACATCAAACTCATTTCACCCAGCTCATTGGAAGTATGAACAAACCAAGTCACCTTTGAGTCAAGACCAGAGCCGGGGTGGGTGGGGGCGAGTGAATGGGGTTAAAGAATTTCAGGTCAAAAGGAATGTTCAAGTTTGCTATGAAGAGAGATGGTAGAAAACCCCATCTCCTCCCCCGTTTCCCATTGTAATGTCAAACTTAAAAAAAAAAAAAAATTCTACCCAGCCACTGTTTCCTAATGTCTGAAACAAGGGGATTAGAACCAAGTGTTCCACCCAGGCTTCGAGTTACCAGTGACACTATGGTAGATCCATGTAAGCAATTATTATATTACAATACTGGACTCAGAAAACGGAGGATAACAGTAGTTCTTGAAACATGGAGGCACGGGTAAGCAACCAGAGCACATACTCAGGGATCCTGGCATGCTTGTATTCTTCTTGCTAGCCAGTGCTAAAGGCCCATGCTGCCACATCTATACTACCATTGTTACTTGTGCTAGCTAGATTAAAGCTATCATGGGTAGGCTTGCCTGTGCTACAATCACAGCTTCACTTACAGATTCCCTTCGAGGTCCCTGAGGGCAGGACCTTTGCCTGGGGATTAGACTATAGTGGCACTGCTCTACTACAACCCTTATCAATGGGCAGGATGGTTGCCCCATCGACTAAAGCAGCAAGTGCTGCTGGCTGGAAAGGGGCACAGTCAGCAGCTGTTTGAGGAATCTCCCATCAACCCCACTGCAGGTGTCCACCCCCATGCAGGGCAGCAGCGGAAACAACCTTCACGGGGTGGTGAATCCCCCCCTTGGACTCAAACTTGGCTTGAGCCAATGGTGTCGCTTGACTGGGCCGTGAGCCTGCATGCTGATCAGTTTTCGAGCTCTGCAAGGGGAAGTCTAGATTCAGAGGGTCTGTGTGTAACCTCTAGCATGGGTACCCAAACAGATGTGCCCAGAGACGGGCATAAACCTGCCGCCTTGCCACGTGCAGAACGCCCAGTGATGCTCCTGGGAGCACTGTGTGTGTGGCAGGGACCATGGCCGTGGAGCCCCCATGTCCAGACATCCATGCCAAAGAGTCTACGTGTTGCCCCCACCACTTGCGTTACGTTTTCAGCGCCTGAGCAGAGTTTTTATCGTTCTCCTTCAGGAACTCGTCAAACATTGCGGCGTCCTTCTCCAGGTACTGTTCAGCCTTTTCCAGTTTTGCTTCCTCTTCTGCTGCTAAGCTTTCCAGCTTCTGAATTTCATCTCTCTTTATTGCCACAGCGTACTGAAATCAACCCAAAAGGGCAACACAGTGACTCATGCTACCTCCTCACTCTGCTTGGTTTCCTTAGAATTCTGGTTTAGCCTGGTTCTTTTCTGGCTGCTGCAACCATTGTTACATCAGCCACAAACATACACATGGCTTCACACTGCAGCAGTGCCTTCTCCCTGAGGATCTCAAAGCACTTTGACCCCCATGTGCTGAGGCAGGGAGATGCTTAATGAGTCACATAGCAAGTCAAGGATGAAGCTAAAAACAGAACCCAGGAGTCCTATAACCCCCTTCCCTGCTCTAACCACTAGATAATACCATTGATTTCAACTGAGTTATATTGGCATAAGATGGGAGTTGAATTTGTGAATCAGGTCCAATCTGTCCACACACTTACACTGTCATCATCACCGTAGTGTCCAAGCACATCACAATCATTAATGAATTTATCCTCAGAACAGCCTTGTGCAGGAGGGAAGTATTATCCTCATTTACAGATGAGGAACTGAGGCAAAGGTAGATTAAGCGATTTATGTAAGATCACATAGTAAATCTGTGATACAGCCAGATATCCTGAGTCCCTCTCCAGTACCTTAACCACAATACCAACACATTCAGCTAATGAGGCCTGATTAGCACTTCTCTGCTCTAACCACTAGCCATGCTGCATATAAAACAACACCCAAGGAAGGAGCTCAAAATAGTTTTTACATAAATCACATTCGTAAACCAAAGCCAAATACCTGCAGCAGAAACATCTGTCGCTTCTTGTCTATGTATTCATGGAGCGTCTCTTTTTCCACTTGCTGGTCTGAAAGCATGAGACAAAGTCGTGCAAGCTGGGGGTGGAACAAGTAGTCAAGGCAAAACACAGTGACCAAACAAAAGGAGGCGTATATGCAAAACTGCATTTAGTAGGGAGAACTCATTGGAATGGGCATGGGCATCTGCGCTTGAGGCCTAAACGAGCAGGTACAGAATCAAGTCAGCTCACGCTGGGTCTCTTTGTCTGCTGGAGGGGGAAAAAAAAACAGGAAGTTAAATGGTAACAGAAAGTGAATTAACTTTGTCCTTGATTAGGAAAAGGAGAAAAAACTCAGGAGGCTTCTGGCACTTGGATGGAGTCACAGGGTTGAATCAGGATAATTTCTGAAGCTGGGAGAACTAGATAATTAATTGCTTTAAAGAGCAGAGCTCTGAACCTTTGTGGTTTTCGGTCTTTGTTATTCAGGTTTGTGCCCATCACTGCAGTTAGTGTCAAAGCAAAAAAAATGGATTGCAAAGCGCGCAAAAGGAAAGGAGAATTTTACTTGCAGAGGTAAACGCTTGTGCATGTATTTTAGCAGCAACAAGGAAGTACTAAGGATACTGAGGTGGAGTTCCTGGACTGGTTCTCCAATCAGTGACACTAGTTTTATACTGAGTTTAATGGAGTTACACCTGCATGAAACTGGTATAACAGAGTGGAGTGTCAGGCCCCCATAAGGGCCAAATCTAAATCACATTGTATTAGTTGCAAAACTCCTATTGACTTTCATGGGATCAAGATTTGGCCCTAAATGCAGACAAATATAACTTGCTGGATCATGGTGGAATGGAAATATCTCCATGACCCACAGCATAACCTAGAGCCTTGGGAGCCCCAGATCAAGCTCTGTCATGACTCACACCCCACGCAACACCATTGATGACAACTTTTTGCACGGGATGTAAGATAAGGCAGAATTTGGTTCACTGTGTTGTAATAAATTTCTGTGTGTGCCACATATAAGCCCTTATGTAAGTACATATGGTAGAGACCAGATGCATGGATATTGGCAAGGTATGATAGATGACTGTGGTGCCTGCATGCTAGAGGAACTCAACTATGAGCTGCTTCTGAAGAGAACAAGAATACTTGCAACTCTCAACCCTTCTTTGTTACAGTCCCTCACGGAGCCTGATGGGATGTTAAGTCTAGCAAGTTCTCTACCTTTGGTGACTGCTATCTTCCAAGAGATACTTTCTTGGAGAGCTTTCAGTCGCTGTGCTTCTGCTGCCAGTTCTCTGTCCTCTGCTTCCTCCTCCTTCTGGAGCTCCTTCTTGAACCCTGACTGCTTGGCATTCATCATAGTGGAATAGGTCATCTTCTCATGGACTTTCAGGGTCTTCTTTCGCTCACGTTCCTATGGGGAGACTTCAGTTATGTAGACAAGTTCTCCTAGTCAAATACTTTGTCCAGTACAGTCTTCAAATGACTCAAGAGATTACGTCACAATTTAACTGATCTCCCCATTAGGAAGCTTTTCTGATATTTAAATTTGCTCAATTTCATCCTATTACTCCTCGTGATACTGCCTTGGAGCCACCCAAACAATTCATCTCATTCCTTGAAGCTTACACCCAGCCATGTGCACACTGTTGCTACATCTCCTCCCCTGCTAGATTTTAAATGTATGTATTGAGTGCCTCGTGTTTCCCTTTGTGGGTGATTCCTGAGAGGGGGAGTGGGGACTTGCAGAGTCTCCTTCTTCCATTACAGGGCTGGCATTTGTCCCCCTACTCAGCAGAAGAGGCTGATCTCAGGGAACCTCTCAAATGTAAGGGACATCCACACAAAGGACTCTTGCCTTCACAGTGCTGCCTGCCTCCTGCAGCCTCTTGAAAGCACAGACCCTACAAGAATTGTACTACCATGGGCTCTCCTGTGTCCTTCCCCATTCATGGATCTGAAGCCTTGAGGAAACCCCTCCAGGGCTGTGGGGAAGAAGGAAGCAAACCACAGAGCCGGCTCGCCCCAACTTCCAGGCCTCACTAGTCCTGCTCTTGAGGTTCCAATTCCTCTCCTCTTATGGACAGAATCCTGGAGTCCTAAATTAATCTGTCAACCTCAGCATTCATTTAGCTTGTGGGCCAGCACAAGCCAGCATTAGTATATGGGCTCTCTAAGTCAAGGGATGAGTCTGATTAACTGTAAAACAGGAGATCTGTAAAACCCAAAGGTGCTACAGAAAAGTAATTTCAGGAGCCTCCCACAGGAATGGTAAATCCACCATTATGTAAGCAGAGTCAGGATAAGCTCTACCCTGACATCTGGTGGTGAATTATGGCGAGGGTGGAAAAGAACTTCAGGGGCTGATCTTGTTTGCATAGGCACACCCACCCGCCTAACCTGGGACAACAACAACTGAAAGTGGTTACTTTGGCTGGTGTGGGATCCCCAGTTTCTCTGTTATTGGAGCAGGAAGAATAAAGTGTTGTTACCCTGATTCTGTGAATCAAGGCCAGTGGAACTGTTGTATGACAGAGGGACTCACCAGTAACTAAGTAGCACTCACTAGACAAGGGGCATGGGTTACAAAACCCAGTGAATTGAGAGAGGTTGGGGACAGGTATGTGCCCCCTTTGAGGGCCTGGAACACCAATTGCACTATCCCCTCTCTCCACTGTTGAATAGCAGAGCTAAGTTTGCTTCCATTAGGAGTCTAGCTAGAAGTTGCTGAACTGAATTCACTTTGGGCCAATGGTGCACCAGCACTGGGGCTCCCCTACTACAAGCTGAAATCACTAAGAGCTGAAATCATTAAAAGAGCTAAAATTGCTGAGCTGAGATCGCTGAGTGCTGTGTTAACAAGTGGGGGAGCCTGAAGCTATATTGCTAAGCAGCTGGCAAAGCCGAGCAGTTTGTGGGACGGTTGGAGCGGCCCATGGAAGAGCGAGCGAGCGGAGCGGAGCTGAGCCATTTGCGGGGGCAGCTGGAGCGGTTCATAGGACGGCTGGTGGAGTGGAGCGGCTGGCAGAGCTGAGCAATTTGTGGGACGGTTGGAGCGGCCCACAGAACGGGGAGCAAAGTGGAGCAGTTTGGGAGACGGCTGGAGGAGCGGAGCGGCGCGCCTGGTAGAGCGGAGCCATTCATGGTGAAGGCTGCAGCAGAACTCCACGGAGAGGTGGGGCAGTCAGCCTCGGACCACGTAAGGTGCCCCTTAACACCCCGTGTGCCCCCCCATTTCCACCCAGGCTGGGGGGGGGTGTAAAACTCTACAGATAAACTTTTGAACTCTGGGGCGGCACTGATCAGGGACAGAGACTTTGGGGTTGTTGGACTTTGGGGTGATTGGACTTAAGACCCTGAGGGGAAAAGGACACTGCCAAACTTACTTGGAGGTGGGTCTTTTGCTCATGGTTTGTGTTATGAATCCTGTTTGTGGTGTTTCCCCAACATAATGCCGCATTATTTCCCTCCTTTATTAAAAGGCTATTGCTACACTCAGACTCCGTGCTTGCGAGAGGGGAAGTATTGCCTCCTAGAGGCGCCCGGGGGGTGGTATGTAATTGTCCCAGGTCACTGGGTGGGGCTCGAGCCGGTTTTGCATTGCGTTATTGAAACGGAACCCCTAGATACTGAACCCGGCCCTTGTTGCTGCCAACTCAGAGGGGCAGAAGGGTTACAATTCTATTGAAGGAAAGAAACAGAAGAGCAATAAAAATAATCTTCAGATACCTGCCCAGATTCTCAGCTGCTGTTAATCAACCTGGCTCCATTGACTTCAATGGAGCTACTCTGATTTACACCAGCTGAGGATCTGGCCTGTAATGTTTTTTCGTACAAGAAGTTTTGTTAAGGCTGCCATCCCCTTTCGAATGCACTGCAAACCTCTTAGCTTTTGCCTTAGTTGTTATACATACCGCCTTAGCCCGTTCTCTTTCCTTGTCTCTCAGTAAGAAGATATCAGTATCCGAAGGGATTTTAAATGGGTTTTTCCTCAGCTGAAACTCATCATCATCTATGCACACAGGAAGAAACAGAACTCGATTAGCAGAGCCTCAGTGTGGGGAGAGCTAAAAGGGACAATTTCAACATATAAAATTCATGGGCTATGTTTTAATTTGAGTTACCTCAGCACTATCCAACATATTTTAAAGGGACACTGTCAATGTATAACCTTTTGCTAGTGGAGACAGGCATTTTAAGAGTAAACTGTTCTTGACGTGGCGAATTCACTATGGGCCAAATACTGGGTTTTGTCCTGCGGTTCTACTGTCCTTACTGATTGTTTTCAACGGACGTTTTGCCTTGAGTAAGGGCCTCAGGATTTGGCCATATTAAAGGAATTTCACTCTATCAGAGATCACTACTGATGGGCCCTACTGGGTATAGTTCTGGGAATTAGCACATTTGCAGCAGTTGATCTTTTGGGGAGGCTGTGTTGACAGAGCAGAGATTTTACTGTTCACCTACACCCACCTCGCGCTCTCACCCAGTTCCATTGGGCCAATTCCTGAAGGCCTTACTCAATGTTTTACTCAGCTAAAGCTCCCCTTGAAGCCATTAGAACCTGCCAGACTAAAGGTTGTACAGCAGCCTGAATAAGCACCTGTAGATTTGGCCAATGGTTAACAATTAAAAACTGAAAAGCCTATCAGGACCTTACCTGAAAGTGGAGACTTTGTTTCCACTGTAAAGTTGGTAGAGGGAACCCCAGAGGTTGGCACTGTTTGCTGAGGTAATGTCCTAGCCCCTGGTTCAATACAAATCAATACGCAGCCATCAATAAATCAATAGTAGTAAGCAACACTGGTAAGAAAGCAGAGCAATACTTGAATCCATAGACTTAATCCTCAAGTCTTGGTATTTCCTTGCTTTTACAGACATCAGAAAGGGGGCTTTTGTTGCCTTTTAATTTCTCATTGAAAGATGCAGCAGTAAAGCTTCTTCCTATCTTCTGCAGGATGCTTGGGTTGAGCATGTTTTTCAAACATTGATAGTAGGGCTTTTCCAAAGGGAAATTATCACAATACCCTGTTGTCAAATCAAGGCCACTTTCTGATCAGAGAGGGGTTATTTCTCACATCTTGTGCTGAATCTTGGGGTGACTATCAAGTCTCCATAAGAAAGGAAAAAGAAAGCATTTCTCACTCTGTAATATCCTCTATTTCACACCCCTTACTGTCCCACTCCCGGCAGATGGTTGGGCAGACTTCTTACATTGAAAAGGTGGAGTATCATGATCCAATGGGTGAGTCCTTGATAGTGGGGAGTGAACCCCCTGGCCTCTAGAGATAAAAGTTTGCACCGCTACTGCCTAAACTAGCAAACTCAGCTCTCTTAGTCAACACCTGTAGAAAACTCAAACTTCCGTGTGATCCAGCCACAAGAGGAGGACAGAGAGACACACACAATAGAGTCCAAGGCCTGGTCTACACTACATGGTTAGGTTGATGTTTGCTGCCTTGCAGTGACCTAGCTGTGGAAGTGTCTCCACTTAAAATTGTCTCCCGCCAACGTAAGTGCCTCTCTACACCGATGTAGTAACACCACCTCCCCGAGCGGCATAGAATCATGGTCAATGTAACTAGGTCGATGCAGTGTCAATGTAGACACTGCGTTGCTTACATCAACTGTTAGACAGCTCCTGAAAGCGAGTAACAGTGCCCCACACTAACAATACACAAGCACTCCTGGTGAGAAACTGCACTGCTGACACGGGGAGCCAAGTGTGCATACCCCCAAGCGATTTAACAACTGCACTGGCTGAATGCCGATGTAAGTTAGGTCGACATAATTTTGTAGTGTAGACATGGCTTTAACTATATATACCACTTTTGGGAAAGGAGGGACAAAATAAAACATAATGGTTTGTTAGTAATAAGCTTTATGGTCTCTGTCTTTCCTTAAAGACAGGAAAATTCCCACACATGCCATACACCACACTTCTGAGTGCTCCAGCCCACACCCACATTTCATCATTAGATTTGTGCTTTGCAAGCAACAAGTTACAAATTAAAATTCTTACTGGAAATGGCTCCAGAGCTGGATGTTTCCTGGGACCCAGTCGAACGTGTATAGGACAGCACAGACATGCTGTACGAATTCCGTTCTGATGAATTCTAGGGAAAGGTTTAGATGAGCAGTTGGTTGAGTTTTATATTTTCTGCTATAGAACCTAGGGGGAAAGCATAATTATCACAACACACTTATCTGTAATGTGCAGAGAGAAGAACGATAGTAGTTTATTAAAATTAACCCACGATCAACAGACACAATTGCCATGCCTCCCTTAGGACAAGTTCAGACGGGAATCAGTTGCACTGGTGTAATTCCACTCGAGTCAGTAGGATCACTCCAGACGTGCACTGGCACAAAGGAGAGGAGAAAATGTCGACTGCCTTTTGCACTAGTTTTAAGGCTATATTTTAAGCAGTTTCATTTGCATTGCCACCTACGCTTAGAACAACCTCCCACTTCCTGTACAAAAAGTGTTCTCCACCTCCCCTTTCCAAGAAGCTTCCCACATCACAGAACTGGCTTCCACTCTCCTTCTGCATCAGGTCCAAACCATGAGTGTCACTGGGTTAGCACCAGCTCAGAAAGAAGAAAGTTCCCTAAAAAATCACCCTTCCTGCAGTATCTGGGTTTTCTGTAGGGCTAACTCTGTTTATCTTGTGAGCCCTAAGCAGATCCCAACTTGGGTGGTGGCTGTGTAATCCAGCTTCTGCTGCATGCTGCAAGAAATATCTTGGTCATGCCTGGCAACTGGGCAAACAAAGCAAACCCCTCGATGCTCACTTGGATATTTACAATCCAGAGCTTTGCTACTACAGAATGCAAAGTGTCGTTTGCCCGATGCTGAGCGCTTTCAATTCCCATTGAAATGCATGAGAGTGGAGAGCACTCGGCACCTTGCAGGGCTATATATGTATGCAGTAACGATTTATCTGTGACATTCTTTGAGATAAAGGTGCTTCATAATATAGTGTTACACTGAGAAAGACTGATGAGTGCATGGATCATGAGCCTATTTGAGAGTGGGTGTGAACACACCCATCACTTGAGATAGTTGTAAGAAGCACTTCAACGCCCACTCCTAAAAAAAGAACTAATAGAATCTGCCCAGAAACTAACAACACGGTGGGAAGGGGTCCACTGGGGATTGTGCCAGGTCTGAGAGAGAGAGGGAAGGCAGAACACGGAGACAGACAGAAGGAGCAGCTGAAAGTGCAGTATCTGACCCTGGAAGAAACCTTGGGTCATGGGTGTAGGCTGAAAATAATGGACTTGGTGCTGTGAGAAGAAGCTGTTTCCTACTGTTGGATTCCCTCTGCATTCAGAGAGACAGGAGGACTTTGTACATAAACAAAACTGCATCAAATAAATGCCTATCACCAATTTCTATTCCCAACTGGAACATCTCCAAAGCTACAAACTTCCACTAGCTGCTCAGGTCAAAAAGGGGCAACAATAATCAGGGTCCTTCTTGAACCCTGTTCCTAAGGTGTGGATACAATTTTTTTCTTTTATAAATCTTATTATAGATTGTTTGCACAGCACTCTGGAAATAATGTATAATGTTACATAAGGGCTAATAAGGTTAATTGTTAAGATCCATAATGGAAAAATGGCATTAAAATCATTTGGTGTATCTTTCACAACCTTTGACATTTTAATGGTTCCACAGGTCTATACCGCCACTCACTGGTGCCAAAGTCAATTGATAAGGAATTACCATTTTTAGTTTACTGATAAATTTATATGCCCCATTTCCCTAGCATTAAGGTGCAGTGCAGAAAAATGCTGAATGAAACATACACAATCAGTCTAAAAATAGAATTAATAAAATAAAATGTAGGATAGTTTCCAAGTTCCCAGAGCACTGGATGGGCTCAAGTCTTCAACCAGCAGCAGGTAATTTAGAAGCAGACGGGTTAGGTTTCTCTGGCTTCCAACAAAACACACATATGCAGACACACTCACCCACACATAGGTAAATCATCAGTGCATGGCATTTCCTAGTGAAACCTACTAATGCCTCCAACTTTCTGTCTCAGTGAAAAGCTGTATTTGCTATTAAAAAACGTAGGAAGGGAAAACGCAATAAAAATTATACCTCCCTTCTTTGGCTTCTCACCCAAATGAGCACCCAACCCTCTCTGATAGCAGCCTTGGTCAATTGCAGCCGGGCAGAGCCATGCACCTGGAAGAGTGGCACAGAACCTTGCAGACTTTGGTTAGCTCCGCGGCTTCTTTTGTTCTCCACTCTTGTTTATGTTGTCAAGGAAGCCTTCTCTCCTGTTGCCCGGCAACCGTCTACGTCATAAAGGAAAGAAAGGCTGCGTCACTTTAGTGCGCTATTCCAGAACGCTGGGGAGGGCAGGCAAATTAGCTAACCGGTTGCACTTGCGGGAGGATGGGTGGTGGTAGTTCTAGTCTTTGCAACACAAGCAAATAAACCGGCGGGAGGGGCAATTTAGTTGCAATTAAGAAGATTGTGCATGACTATGAAGTTGAAAAAAGTAGCGCATAAATCGGCTACAAGTTTCAAGGAAAATCCATTGTAGCTGCTTTTGGAGATCTCTTGAGCTTGAAATTGCAGTTAGCTGCAATTGTGCGGGTCTCTTGCACATAAGCCAACCAAGGGGCTGCACGTGACATGCAACTGTGTTTGGCAGGATCCATTGCAGGTTTCTTTCTACTGATTTTGCAGAGGTTCTTCTTTCCCTGCATAATAACAGCCTAGGGACCGTTTTCATAGGCAAACGAGGGATATTGCTAATCATGCATTTCTACTTCTTATTTTTAGTGGAAAGAATTTAACTATCTCTACAAATATTATACATAGGGAGACAGTATATCTAAGAGGTTAGAGCAGGGCCTCCATCCAGGCGTCTAAATCTGACTGCAGTTTTCTGGCTGTGTGACTGTGAGCAAGTCACTTGACCTCTTTGGAGCTCAGTTTCCCCTTTCCCCAGCTGTAAAATATGGATAGTTAAATTTAGTCACCTCAGAAGGGTGTTGTGTGGCTTACTAAACTAACAGCTGTAAAGGACTCGTCAGATGAAAGGTGCTGCAGTAGAGCAAAATATATCATACATTTATAAAGGTGTATTGGAAAAGTATGATTTTGGGGGGTGGGGGAAGGTATCAAAACCCCCTTATTTTCTCTTTGTTGTGCCCAAGGGAAAAATATCCATTCCAAATATATCAGTGTGCTTCTTTTGTGTTCTAGGGATTAGCAGTTGAGCTTTCTAAAACAGCAATTTCTGTGTTACAGTAGATTTCTAGATGGCTTTACCCACCTGAATAAGTCATGCAACATAACAAATAGCAGGATTTGTTTTAAACAAGGGTAAACTCCTATTTAATTGTCACATATGTGTTATTTCCCATTATTGTGGATTATTAAGATATGGGACTCACTGAGCTGTAAAGTCTCTCTCAATAATTCTAGCAAGAGGAGGATGTTGCTTATAAAAGAGGAAACTTCTCTTTACTCCAAACAAATACATCAGCATTTGGCAAAAAAGTACGGGATAATCTTATGTTTCTGTAAAGGAATCTTTTAGTTGAAAATTTCCCAGTTGCAGTAGGAGATTTGAATCATGAGAGAAATTGAAAAATCATTTTGCATATTTAAAAAATCAAGGAACAAATTATACTGCAAATGCAATTCTCCAAATGTAAATAGCCTTTGGAAGTAAGGATTTATAATGGAACTGCAGATACAGAGCATTAGTGGTATGAATAGACATCACTGAAGTGCATTAACATAGGAACCTAGGAGATTAGGACAGCTATAGCTTAATATATGGAGTCATTTCTCATAGTGAATGATACAAATTCTATAGCTATGTTTCCTTCCACGCAACCTTGCTAAACGTTCATTACTTAATACTAGAACATACACGATTTTAAAACTGATCATTACATTATCAGATGGAGAGAAAGTAGGCAGCTTTTCATGAAATATTTTTGGCTCATCACTCACTTCCTGTAAACTCTACAGGTGTTTGTTATGCTTTTCTTTGAGGGCACATAGATTCATAGATTTTTAAGGCCAGAAGGATACTAGGGGGTCTATTGTGAGCAGCTATTAACTCTGTTAATGAATGGAATAAATTACATGTGCAAATCATGGGGAAAACCTGCTTTATAAAGTGGTCTGTGCAACTGACTGGTGGTTTGGCTTGTTAGTTACTTTCACATAGTTTCAAGGTTCCATAGTGTGACATCGGGGTACCATGTCTAGGAGTTTGTTAAATGTTTGACATAAGGGTTATCAATACTGTTTCCTTGTTCTATGTTTGGTGAGAGGAGAAGCCCAGGTGTCAGTGAGGTAAGATTCACTTTTAGTAAGATGCCATTATTCATCTAATAGATGTGATAGCAGGAGAATTGTTACAGCACAAGAGTTCTTAAGGCATGGCTAGAACATGGGATTGGAATGGAAGGATTTGGAGTTCTAGTTCTGTCTTTGTCGTTGGCTTATGTGATCTTTGACAAGTCACTTGATTTCTCCGTGCCTCAGTTTCCTCACCTATAAAATGGGGGCAATTAATACTTACCATCATCACTGGGGTGATGTGAGAGTTAGTTAATTGATACTGGCAAAATGTTTTTAAATTGCTGGCTGAGAAATACTATAAGAGATGGGAGCCATATAAGTATCTACACAGACAGAAAGATAAGACGGCAAAGTAATATATATTTATACCAGGAAGCTGGCATGCATCAAGTACACTGTTCAGCTCAGTGGTCATTAGTCTCCACCATTCCCTTTAACTCTCTCAAGGGTCTCCATTATTCATTTATTTTACTTTAGATATTATAAAATGTAACTGAATATGCACTAGACAAACAGGAAAGGACTAAAATACAAGCCAAAAGACAAGCAGAGAATGGCACAGAAATACTTCAAGGCAGTTTGAGTATTTTCTCTCTGATCTGTTCAGCTTTATATTCTTTGCTGGATTTGGTGTTGTACCACCTGAAACAGCCAAAGAGGGAAATCAAGACCTGATATTAATAAGGTTAAAAAAATTAAGGAAGGAGAAAACCTACAAGCTGATATTCTGTGCTGCACCTCCAGGAGGCTCTGAA